CTGCCATTCATTGGGAACAGTGTTAGAAACTTATAGTTAGGGGTGTACTGGATATTGGGTTAACTCACGGAACGTTTTCTTTTTCTGTATTCATTCTTCATAGGCGAACTAATGTTTTGTGATTATTGTTATTATTCGAATTACTGATGCACTTGGGATTAATGGACCAAATGATTGTTTTCTTTAAATTGGATTGCTAGCCACTGAGGCGGGCACAAACTTTTAAGAATTGGTTATGTTTTGAGTCCCTGATTATCTATAAAGAGATTGTTTCGCGTCCTAGATGGAAGGGGGGGGTGAATAGGTAATATAGTGACGTCATCTTGTTACGTAGTAAAATTTGGGGGCATCACATCGGATGTCTTAGCGGCCCCTATCCCTCCAAACTTTAAAATGCCCGCGATGAAGCCCTACGATGGGTCCAAAGACCTAAAAGATTATATTGAGGTCTTTGAAGGCCTCATGGACTTCCAAGTGGCCTCAGACGCCATTAAATACCGAGCTTTTCAGATCGTTCTCACGGGGAGTGCTCGGCTCTGGTATCGAAGGCTGCCGGCAAGGTCAATCTTGACATATGGTCAACTGAGGAAAGAGTTCATCAGCCAATTCTCTTCTCGGCACTACGATAGGAAGACAGCCACTCATCTCGCCACCATCCGACAGAAAGAAGGCGAAACTTTAAGGGAGTACGTGACCCATTTTCAAGAGGAGTAGCTCAAAGTTGCGCATTGCTCCGATGATTCGGCTATATGCAACTTCCTCACTAGCCAGGCCGATGAGACTGTGATGGTCAAGTTAGGCGAGGAAGCAACGTCAACCTTCGCCGAGGTCTTGCAGAAGGCCAAGAAGGTTATAGACGGGCAGGTACTACTCAGAACCAAATTAGAGGTCCGACCAGAAAAAGTTAGGAGCCCAAGAAAAGGGGAAGTTCGACTCAACGTCTAAAGACAAGGGGTCATCTTCTCAAGGACGAACTGACTGAAGGAGGTCCGACTCGGACTCCAGTCAGAGGGGGCCGTATGAAAGATACACCCCAACTACCATTCCGATCTCCGAGATTTTAACCAATATCGAGGAGAACGGTTTGGATAAACTCCTCAAGCAGCCTGATAAACTTAGAGGAGACCCAGAGAAGCGCAATAAAGACAGGTACTGCCGTTTCCTTCGCGATCATGGTCATGATACCTCGAATTGCTGGGAGTTGAAGCGCCAGATTGAAGACCTGATTCAATATGGCTACTTCAAGAAGTACGTTGGCAAGCCGGGCTCCGGCTCGGCAGGTAAGAAAGAAGAGAGAAAGCGTTCAAGGATGCCACCTCGGAGGGATGACCGACCTACGGTCATCAACACCATTTTTGGCTGCCCTAGTGGGGGCCAGTCTGGAAATAAAAGAAAGGAGTTAGCTACGGAAGCACGTCGAGAAGTCTGCAGTATTCGTGAGCAAAAATCGACCTGCCCTATCTCCTTCTCTAACTCCGATCTGGAAGGGGTACACTTGCCCCACAATGACGCTTTGGTAATCTCACCAATGATAGATCATGTCCAGGTCATGAGGGTTCTGATGGATGGGGGCGCCTCCGCCAACATTTTGTCTCTTACCACTACCTGGCACTAGGGTGGACCAGGGCGCAGCTTAAAAAGAGTCCAACCCCTTTGGTGGGATTTGCGGGTGAGTCTGTCACCCCGAAAGGTTGCACAGATCTTCCCATCACTCTTGGCCAAGGTGATACCCAAGTCACTCATATGGCAGACTTCGTGGTTGTAGATGGTAGGTCGGCCTACAATGCCATATTTGAACGATCTATCATCCATTCACTGCGTGCCATCCCATCGACTCTGCACCAAGCCTTGAAGTACTCGACAGTCAATGGGGTTGGCATAGTCCGAGGTGAGCAGAAAGCATCGCGTGAGTGCTATACCTCAGCTCTAAAGGGTCGGCGGTCTGTGCCCAAGAAGAGGCGAAAAAGCTTCCAAGACCGGCAGTTCAAGCTTCCGAGGACGAACTGCCCAAGGCCGTTCAACGTGAGGTAGCTGCGCCTACTGAAGAAGTGGAGCTTGTCCCTTTGCTCAGCCCGGATAAACAGGTGAGCATAGGCACCAAATTGGGGGCCGCGGATAGGGAGAAGCTCATCTCTTTCCTTAGGACGAACTTGGATGTGTTCGCGTGGTCTCATGAAGACATGTCGGGCATTAATCCGAAGATAATGGTCCACCGCCTCAACATTGACCCATCATTCCGACCGATTAAGCAAAAAAGGAGACCTGTAAATAGGGAGAGGAGTGATGTAATTGTTGAGGAAGTAAACAAACTTTTGAAAGCGGAATACATAAAAGAGATTTTGTATCCCGACTGGCTCTTTAATGTTGTCTTAGTTAAAAAATCTAATGGAAAATGGAGAATGTACGTAGATTTCACCAATCTTAACAAGGCATGTCCAAAAGATTGTTTTCCACTTGCGAGGATCGCCAGCTTGTGGACGCAACGGCCGGGCACGAGCTGCTCACGTTTATGGACGCCTACTAAGGGTACAACCAAATAAAGATGCACGAGCCAGATCAGGCCCACACCTCCTTCATAACTGATCAAGGTTTATACTGGTACAAGGTCATGTCCTTCGGTTTAAAAAACATAGGGGCAACTTTCCAAAGAATGGTGAACAAGTGTTTGCTAATTAGATCGGATGTAATATGGAAGTCTATGTGGATGACATGCTGGTCAAGAGCAAGCAATCCAGGTCGCACCTGGCCAACCTAACCGAGGCCTTTGTGGTACTCCGAAGATTCCAGATAAAGTTGAATCCTTCCAAGTGTGCTTTTGGAGTTTCATCTGGCAAGTTCCTAGGCTTCATGGTTAATAACCGTGGAATTGAGGCCAACCCAGACAAGATAAAGGCCATTCTTGAGATGCAGGCGCCAAGGACCCTTAAGCAGCTACAATGCCTTAATGGGAGAATTGCCGCTCTCAACCGCTTCGTCTCCAGGTCTATCAACAAGTGCATTCCCTTTTTCAAGGTTCTAAGGACGAAGGGGCCATTCCAGTGGACAAACGAGTGTGAGGCCGCTTTCGAAAAACTCAAAGACTATCTCTCCTCGGCACCATTACTCACAAAGCCAATGCAAGGAGACAAGTTATACTTGTACTTGGCTGTTTCCGAGAACGCAGTCAGCTCGGCCCTGGTTAAGCAGGATGGAACGCATCAGAGCCCTGTCTATTACACGAGCAAAGCCATGACCGAAGCCGAGACAAGGTATCCCCAGATGGAGAAGCTTGCTCTCGCCTTGGTCACCTCGGCACGAAGACTAAGACCATACTTCCAAGCTCATACTGTGACTGTGCTCACCAACGTTCCCTTGAAGCAGTTTTTCCACAAGCCAGAAACGTCGGGACGTTTGATGAAGTGGGCCGTACAGTTGAGCGATTACGACATCTAGTTCGAGCCCCGAACGGCCGTAAAAGGGCAAGTTGTTGCAGACTTCATAGCTGAGCTCACTCCTCCATCAGCTCAAACCTCCACACCCGATCAGCCTTGGATGGTGTACGTGGATGGGTCTTCGAATGAGAAAAGATGTGGAGCAGGTGTGCTTCTCCTCGCCCCAGATGGCATGCGCTTTGAATTTGTCCTACGCTTCAACTTTCACACTTCAAACAATGAAGCTGAGTACGAAGCCTTGTTGGGCGGACTATGCATGGCCAAAAGGCTGGGGGCCACCCATCTTCTTATTTTCAGTGATTCACAACTGATAGTGAATCAAATCAAGGAAGATTATCAAACAAAAGACCCTCGGATGGAGAAGTATCTGGGAAAGGTCAGGTCCCACCTCGCTTACTTCCAAACCTATGAAATTAGTCAGATTCCGAGATCACAAAATTCCAATTCCGACGCCTTGGCTAAGTTAGCGTCAGCATACGAGACCGATTTGGCGAGGTCGGTCCCCGTGGAAATTTTAGACAATCCTTCTATTTTAGAGCCGGACATGATGGAGATCGACTCCCACCCCCCGTCGTGGATGGAGCCAATAAAAGACTTCTTGGGGGGAAAGGTTCCAGCAGACCCGAGGGAAACCAAGAAGATGACAAGGAAAGCAGCTCGGTACTTGCTCCGAGATGGAACCCTGTACCGGCGCGGCTTTTGCTTGCCCCTCCTTAAGTGTATTTCCAAAGAAGATGGATATTATGTTCTTAGGGAAGTTCATGAGGGAGTCTGTGGTAACCATTCTAGGGCTAGATCTTTGTCGGCAAAAGTCGTTCGTCAAGGCTACTACTAGCCCACGGTGGATCGAGATGCAAAGGAGTTCGTGAAGGCATGTGACAATTGTCAGCACTTTGCGAACCTCGTCCACCAGCCTGCCGAGCTGCTGATTCCGATCTCGGCACCCTGGCCCTTTGCACAGTGGGGAGTTAACCTTATCGGACCCTTCCCGTTGGGTAAGGGACAGGCCAAGTACGCAGTCGTGGCAGTAGATTACTTCACCAAGTGGGCTGAGGCCGAAGCCCTCTCGACAATTACGGAGGCTAGGGTCACAAACTTCATTTGGACAAACGTTGTGTGCTGCTTCGGCATACCTAATGCCATCGTGACAGACAATGGCAGGCATTTTGACAACGCCAAGTTCAAAGACTTTTGCCTCAAGCTCGGAATTAGTCATCTCTGCTCGTCCCCGGCTCATCCCAAGGCCAACGGACAAGTGAAGGAGATAAACAAGATTATCAAGCACGGACTCAAATTACGGCTCGACGCAAGGAAAGGGCGGTGGGCAGAGGAGCTACCTGAAGTACTCTAGTCCTACCGAACTACCCCGCGAGAGTCAAATGGGGAAACCCCGTTCGCTATGGCCTTCGGCTCCGAGGTCGTCGTGCCTGTTGAAATCGGTATGCCAACCGAAAGAGTTGAGTACTACGAACAAATGAAGAATGAAGAGGAGATGCTCTTGAACCTAGACCTCGTTGATGAAAAAAAGGAGATGGCCCAGTTACGCTTGGCCGAGTACCAAAACCGAATGGCAAGGCACTATAACTCAAGAGTCCGACCTCGGAGCTTCCAGGTCGGACATCTGGTCCTTCGTAAGGTGCAGAAGCACGTCGAGGTGTTGGAACCGAGCTAGGAGGGGCCAGTTGAAGTCAAGGGCATCGTCCGACCTGGAACCTATATGTTGGTTGATCTCGAAGGAAAGCTGCTTTTGCATCCATGGAATGCAGAGCATTTAAAGAGATATTACCCTTGAAATGTAAAATTGTCCGAAGAATGAGCTGGACTTGTAAAAATTTTCAAGGATTAATCCCAGTAAAGGACTCCGTATTATTTAATTTCATGTTTCTAAAGGACTAAGTTCGATGTGAAATTAAATGGGGGCCAGAGGTGGGGATCAGAGCTTAGTGAGACTCAATGCCTCTAGAAAGGAACTCACGAGTTCGAGGTAAGAGACGAACTAAAGCAATGCGTCAAAAACTTTGAAATCTTGTTATTAAAAATTTATCTAAACCCCAAGAAGACTCGCAAACGCAAAAATGAGTGGCACAATCAAAAATTGACTCAAGATAGAGATTTGTATTTCCGAAGTAAAGTATTGGCTGAGGTGTATAGGCCTCGTGACCGAGTACAAAAATGGAAGGCGAAGTAGGAAATAAGCACAACAAAAGCTGTAAAAGGTAGAAGAGCGGGTCAGCTGCTTCCGAGGTGCAATCCTAGCTCCCTTTGGGACCCAAGGATGTCAACCTCCTGAGAGTCGGTCATCCCAGCTTCCTAAGTGGAGTTCGCACCGGCAGCAGAAGGAAGAGTCTCGTCAGCGTCTTGGGAAGAAGGATCCTCATCCTCTTCCTCCTCGAGCTCGGCGTCGGAGTCAAGGTCCTTCAGGTACTGATCAACGCGGTACTGGGGGCCAGGAGTCCCATTGTGACCCGAAGCCCACTTCTCTACATATCGCAGCTTTATGGGTGCAAGGTCGAGCTCGGGAGACACTTCCTGGACCCCTTTCATTAAGAACTGGAAGCCAGCATCGCTGAAATCTTTGGCGAACCCATCGAAGTCAGGGTGTTGACGAAAAGCTTCCTCCAGCAGGACTCCGTTGCTGAGCCTTGACTTGGATAGCTCAAGCTTGGCCCTCAGCTCTGCCATCTCGGCGTCTCGAGCCTTCAGTTTGCCCTCCAGGTCATCTCGGAGATGTTCAAGGTCGTCGTTCTGCTTCATCAGCACGAACTTCTCCTTCTCCAGGCACTTGGCCACGGCGTACGCACCTCGCAAGGTCTCCAGATGACGGGCCACCTCTGCTTGAGCACTTTTGAGCTTGGCGTCAGAAGTAGATTTCCATGCTTGGGCTTCAACCCGAGCTTCTTTGAGCTTCCCCTCCAGAGCAGCTGCAGTTTCCAAAGCAGCAGAGGAGGCTTCTCGCTCCTTCACAGTGCGCAGGTCACGCCCTTCTAGCTCGGCCTTCACCATGAGGGCCGTCTGGCAAGCTGCGGCATGGACCTGCAAAGAAGAAGAGAGTCAAGAGGGAAACTCCAGAGGTGACACCGTTAAAACTCAGAAAAAGAGAAAAAGGTAAGCTCATACCTCGGCAGTGTAGTCCAACAATCCTGGATGGCCGATCCCGGAGCGCTGACAAATTTGGAAGCTCTCCTCCAGCAGCGATCGAAACAGGACCCAGAGATCTCCATAGCTCTCTCCCGCACCCCAGCACTTGAGGGTTCGATCTTGAACCTCATCTCGAGGTCGGAGGTGCCGCCTATCCTAGCCTCAGGGTCATCCACCAGGTCCCCAAAAGGACTGACCTGCTGACTGTCACCCACCTCCCTCACTTCGTCCCCGAAATGGTGGGTCCTTCTCTTCTTCTTTTTGGACTTTTTTGGAGAAGTCCTCTTCCTAACCTCCTTAAGGAGTGAGACTTTGAGGATCTCCTGATCGTGCGAGGCCCTTGCTGCGACTGCTCCCTAGGACGAAGCAGCCGCATTGTCAGCTTC